TCCTAATCAGAAAAATCTTTATGCTTAACCCCCTCTGACCATGCGATCGGTTTAATCGATGTTCATGCATATCTCTACAGACCTTGTTTGGTATGATGGCCATACAAAAGCAGGTGGAAATAGGGAACGCCAGGGCTCGAAAGTTCTCTGACAGCCTTGAGGTGGCGCATAATGAAAATAACATCCTCGCCACCAAAAACACAGAACTATTCGTCCAGCTTGGAAAAGTTGAAAAAGAGAGAGATGCTCTGAAAAGGGAAACCGATTCTCTTCAGGATGAAAGGGATGCCTTTTACCTTGAGAAGAGCGTTTGGCAGACCGAGCGCAACTCGCTCAAGGACGAAAAATCTGAACTCCAGCGCCTTCTGGCTGACGAACAGTCCGCTCAGATGACCTTCGAGAAGAGAGCCCTGGAGGAGCATGATGCTCTGCTCAACACCATTAACAAGGTGAATGGTGGTATGCTGGCTCTTCATGCCCGATTTTCAAGTGTTTGGGCTCTCAGGTATGCTCAGGGGTACAAAGAGGGTTTCTCCAACCGTGCTCCTGCCGACGGGCAGACTGGTTCCACTCCGGATGAAGTTGATAAAGATCTAGAAATTGATCCTCTAGGAGTCTATGTTGATCCAGACTCTACTCCTGCTGAACACATTTTTGATGAGTGTCAAGTGATTGCTTCCTCCAGGGTCACTACAGTTCTCTCTATCGTTCAGCCTCTAGACGTTCTTCCTCTGTCTACTATGGTCCCTTCTTCAACCGTTACTGAGATTGGGCCCCAACAGAATGATTCAATTATTCATCTCGACTCCCCACCTCGTGAGGATGGGACGACTAATGAAAATGAAGAGGCGAGTCAACACAATCAAGAGGCTGACAAGACAGAGGCAACTAGCTAGGACTCTTCTGATATTTTAATTTCCTGCTTCTTTGTAGTTATGTTATCTGTATGATTTATCTTTTTGTAACCTTAGATCATATCATGAATGAGATGACAAAAACATTGACTTTATCTGTGCATGGGCGGTAACAACCAGCTTCATATTCATCTACTTTGTAATGTCTGGCGCTCGGCTTATAATGCCAGCTGCCACTTACTTTTTGTTTTTGAACAAATACTTAGCAAGTACCTGGCGCTCGGCTAGAATGTCACTTGGCTTTTTATCTCTTAGCAAGAGTTTGGCGTTCGGCTCATAGTGTCAGCTGCCACTTACTTTGCTTAAGTGCCTAGCGCTCGGCTAGAATGCCACTTAGCTTTTTATTTCTTAACAAGAGTTTGGCGTTCGGCTTATAGTGCCAGCTGCCACTTACTTTGCTTAAGTGCCTGGTGCTCGGCTAGAATGCCACCTGCCACTTGGCTTTTTATTTCTTAGCAAGAGTTTGGCGTTCGGCTCATAGTCCCAGCTGCCACTTACTTTGCTTAAGTGCCTGGCGCTAGGCTAGAATGCCACTTGGCTTTTTATTTCTTAACAAGAGTTTGGCGTTCGGCTCATAGTCCCAGCTGCCACTTACTTTGCTTAAGTGCCTGGCGCTAGGCTAGAATGCCACTTGGCTTTTTATTTCTTAACAAGAGTTTGGCGTTTGGCTCATAGTGCCAGCTGCCACTTACTTTGCTATTTTTACTTGATCAATCTCTTAAAGAGGAATATTACTTTTATAAATCTCAGAAACTTGTACATTCGCTTGTATTCAATTGAAAATGAACAAAATTCAACATTGAAACTCTTAACTTTATATTGATAATACCTCTTTAGAGACGTAGCATTCCAAGGCTTGTTAACCAGCCTTCCGGCCATGGTCTCTAGGGTATATGCCCCCTTTCCTATGACTTCTGCAATTTTGTATGGACCTTCCCATGGTGAACCCATCTTTTTGACTATCCCCACCTTCTTTTCCAGAACCAGATCACCTGGTATAAAGTCTCTGTGCTTTACCTTTTTGTTATGGTTATTCGCAAGCGTTTGCTGGTAAGATGCGACCCTTACTGCCGCTATATCTCTCTTTTCCTCCAGCATATTGAGGTTAAAACTCAACATACTGTCGTTATGCTCTCGGCTCCATGCCAAACTCTGAACAGTCGGAACCAAGTGTTCGACCGGTATAACTGCTTCGGTACCATATGCCATGGCGAATGGGCTTTCTCCGGTCGGTCGCCTTAGGGTCGTTTTGTAAGCCCATAGGACGTTCGGCAGTTCATCTAAGCATTTTCCTTTCTTCTCTTCAAGCTTCTTCTTGATACAAGCAAAGATTGTTCTATTTGTGATTTTTACTTGTCCGTTGGCCTGGGGGTGACTTACTGCCACCAGCTTTTGATTAATTCCATATTCCTCCAACAGCTCTCTTAATTGCTTGCTGTCAAGGTTTGTCCCATTATCCATGACGATTGACCTCGGAACGCCAAACCGGCAAATAATATTGCTCCAAATGAACCGTCTCACATGAATTTGAGTTACGCTCGGGTACGGCTCTGCTTCCACCCACTTAATAAAGTAATCTGTAGCCAGCAGCACACACTTGTTCTGAGCTCTTACAGTTGGCAGAGGACCAACCACATCCATCCCCCATTGCGCGAAAGGCCATGGTGTGGCCATTACGTGCAAGTCCTCAGGTGGTTGGTGAATCAGTGGTCCGAACCTTTGGCACTTATCGCACCTTCTGGACAATTCTTCCGCATCTCGCGACATGTTCCGCCAGAAGTACCCTTGTGTCATTGCTTTGTGCGCTAAAGACCTTCCCCCTGAATGGTTTCCACATACACCTTCATGAATAGCTCGCAGCACCTGCCGAGCCTCTGTGGGAGTGACGCACTTTAAGTACGGCCCAGAAAAAGACCTTCTGTATAACTGGTCATGCACTATGGCGTATTTTGCAGCATTCGATTTGATTTTCCTAGCTTCATCTTTTTGCTCGGGCAGAATATCTCCCCTGATGTAAGTTATGATTAGATCGATCCAACTTGGCTCATAGGAAATAACATTTACTTGCCAAGGATCTGGATCCGAAGGTTCTGCAAAAATGGATGGCTAGTTTAATATTCCTACTGGAATTACCCTGGCCAATGTTTCCCCAGAACCCGAGGCACTACACGCTAGCTGGTCGGCATCTTCGTTATGCTCTCTCGGTATTTGGATGAATTTAATTTTTTCAAAGTTTTTGGCCTCCCGCACAACAGCAGAATGATAGGCCTCCATTGTTTTATCTTTGGTTTCATACTCGCCATTCACCTGCCGAACAACTAACTGCGAGTCACTAAAGACAATCAAATTCTTGACCTTCAACTCCTTGGCAAGCTTAAGTCCTTCCAGCAGTGCTTCATACTCCGCTTCATTGTTAGTGGCTCTGAATTCAAGCCGGAGCGCTTGACTCAAGGACGTACCTTCTGGTGTCTGCAATTTAATCCCAATGCCTACCCCCATCTGATTTAAGGATCCATCGATGAAGAGTCTCCACAAGCAACCTCGAAGGTCTTCCTCTATGTCTTCTGAATCACATTCCAGTAGAAAATCTGCCACTGCTTGCCCTTTGATTGCCGTTCTGGGTTCATATGTTATATCAAATGAGCTTAACTCTATGGCCCACTTCGTCATTCTTCCTGAGAGGTCTGGCTTGTGCAGGATTATTCTGATAGGGAAGGTGGTTAGAACGATGATAGGATGGGATTCAAAATAATGCCTGAGCTTTCTTTTCGCATGCACTAGCGAGAGTATCACTCGCTCGGCCTTTGAATAACGTCGTTCAACCTCAGTCATCATTTTGCTAACATAGAACACTGGATATTGCTTCCCTTCTGGACAACGAATCAGAACGCCACTTGTCGCGATGCTGGATACCCCGAGGTATAGAAATAATTTTTCTCCTAGTTCTGGAGCTGACAGGATCGGAAGGTTCTGCATATATTCCTTCAAACTTGTTAATGCTTTTCACTGTTCATTCCCCCAAACTTGTCTGCCATGGCTTCGTATTGTGTCAAAAAATGGTTTGCAACGGTCTGACAGTTTTGAAATGAATCGGCACAATCCTGCGATCCATCCCGTAAGTGTTTGCACTTCCTTGACTGTTGTCGGCTCGACATTCTTAGTCAGAGCTTCTGCTTGGGCTGGGCTAGCTTCTATGCCTCTGTGATTAACCACGTGTCCCAGGAATTGACCAAAACTCACGCCGAATGAGCATTTAGTTAGATTGAGCTTCATTCCGTAGTGCCTCAACACATCAAATACGTCCTGTAGATGTTTCAGATGGTCAGCTTTCTTCTTACTTTTTACTACCATGTCATCAATGTAAGCTTCCACGGTCTTCCCTATTTGTCTCTTGAAAATTTTGCTAATAAGCCTTTGGTAAGTTGTTCCGGCATTTTTCATTCCGAATGGCATGACTTTGTAGCAATAGGTCCCGCGCTCGGTAACGAAAGAAGTTTTCTCTTCATCAGCAGGGTCCATGGGGATCTGATTATAACCGGAATAAGCATCTAAGAAGGTTAACCGCACATATCCAGTAGTAGAATCCACCATTTGATCAATTTTTGGCAGCGGAAAGCTATCCTTGGGACAGGCTTTGTTTAAATTGGTGAAATCGATACACACCGGCCATTTCCCATTCTTCTTGTGCACAACAACAACATTTGACAACCAGTCAGGATAACACACTTCCCTTATAAATCCCGCGTTAAGTAGCCTGTCAACCTCCTCGGCTATGATCTGGTTACGCTCTGGAGCAAACCTTCGCTACTTCTGCTTTACAGGTCTTGCATTAGAATTTACGTTCAAGGAGTGACAGGATACGGAAGGATCGATTCCAGGCATGTCTAGGTGGCTCCACGCAAATACATCGGCGTTCTGAGACAAGAAATCAACTAACTCGTGTTTCTCTGCCATAGCAAGTCGTTCCCCCACTCTGGTTGTTCGTTCGGGTCAGAACCGATCGATCTGTACATCAACCAGGGGTTCTTCAGTCAAGTCCAGTGGCTCCTCCTCCCCATTCTGCTTGGGGGGAGGTTCATGTAATTGCTATCCTGGGCTTGCCGAACAGATGGGTGATTTCCCTTTTCCAGTATGCTTCAGCGTTACTGAATAACATTCCTTAGCTGCAACTTGGTCCCTATGGATGTCGATTACCTTGGCTCTGTCTGGCCCCAGGCATCTCATTACTTGATGCAAAGTGGAAGGAACACCTTGAACTCTATGGAACCACCCTCTGCCCATTAAAAGGTTATACGAGGGATGGATTTTGACAACCACAAAGGTCTCCATCAAAACCCTCTCTGCAGCGCGTACCACTACCTCCACCGTACCGATGGGTTCCACTCGTTTTCCATCAAACCCTAGTAAAGGATTCCCGGTAGATTTGAGCCGGTCCGGCTTGATTTCGAGCCGATCAAATGTATCCCTCGGCATGACGTTTGCACTACTTCCAGGATCAATCAGAATTCTACGTACCAAACATTTGGCCACTGTCAAACTAACGACCAACGGGTCCTCATGAGGGATCTGAACACGCAATAGATCTGTTCTGTCAAACTTTATTTGTGTTGATGCGCTCTGTTGGTGCAGAGTGTTTACACTGCCCACCCTTCTCTTCATCCGTGCATGGTGAAGGCGTGTTCGAAACAGTTCATCTGACTCCTTAGTAGGCTCAGGCCGACCGTGAATTGCATTGATTATTCAAACTGGTTACGTATTGTGAGGGTTCGACTTCTGATTCTTCTTCACGTGCTCCATTGGCCGGTTCTATTCTGCCGCCGGGCCTTGAATATAACTTGCGAACTCCCATCTGGCTATCAGCATCTCTACCTGTCTCCTTAAGTTCCTGCATTCGTTAGTCTGATGGCCAAAGTCAAAATAAAATGCACAATGCTTAGACTGATCCCTCTATTCGAGGGGTTGTCTGATTGGTAAAGGTGGTCGGAACTTATCTTTGTTTTCTTGGTATAGCCTTGCTAAGGTGACTTTCAATGGAGTAACCAGCTCTTCCTCTCTGGGCCTCTTCTCAGATTTCCACGCAGAACGCTGTGGCTGAACCTGCTTTTGTCTGATCTTTGCTTTGGTTTTGTCCTCTGTTGATATGACGGATGTTTTTCGAGCATTTGCTGCCTCTTCTTCTTCTAAGCGCACATATCCATCGGCTCTTTCATTTAGTTCATCCATAGTCTTCGGCATATTCACTACCAAGCTTATGTGGAATGGAGTGCCACGAGTCATGGCCAGTATAAATGCTTGAACCGCCGTAGAAGGGTGACATTCAATTACCATACTCCTAGTAAGGTAAAACCTGGTTAGGAAAGCTTGGAGGCGCTCATCCTCATGCTGCTTCATTGTGAATAGGCTTGAAATGTCCTTTGTCGGTCGCTTATTTCCATAATATTGGCTTATGAACCGATCACATAAGTTTCGAAAACTATCTACTGAGCCCCTCAGCAGGTTCTTAAACCAATTGAGGGCTGGTCCAGCTAGACTTGTAGGAAAACACTTGCACATCAAGGAATCATTCTCAGTGTTCAGAGCCATTTTCAACTGGATGTGATACACATGATCAATCGGATCGGTCGTTCTGTCGAACAGAATGAAGATGGGCATGGAAAATTTCCTCGGACTCGAAGCATTCAGAATTTCATCAGTGAACGGTGAGTCAACCTTTCGAGTTGCTGAACGGAAGGCTTCATTTTCCCTCTGGAACCCCGCAGTTGCTCTCTGATCCACAGATCTCATTTCTGAGCCGCGATAGTCGAACGTTACCATGGAAGGCCGATAGGTCGGATCGAATGATCTGTCCTCTACGAACTCTCTGTGCCATGGAGGTACAGCTTTGTGACGATCAAACTCCATTGCTTCACCTCGACTGAGCGTTTCTTGATGTGGATCAAAGGTCATGGCTTCGTTTCGCCTGATCTGTTCACGCCGTGGATCCACGTGAGTTGATCCTTCACGATCATTAATACGACGGGGATTTGGCGGCAAATCGTTTGGCTGGACTTCCTAGCGGTGAAAATCTGTCTGATTGTTCCCTACCTCCTCGCCGTGATATGCCGCATCGGTATGTGCAGCTTGTTCTCCAACCGGGAGCGGTCGCGGAATCACTGGGACTTCTTGACCCTGCATTTCAGTCCTTAAATATGCATTCTCTCTTCTGAGAGCTTCGATCATGCTCATCAACTCATCAAGCTTCACCTGCTGGACATTCTCTACCGTATTGGAGTTCTCACCCCCAATCATCATTCCAGAATGGAGCAAAGGCATGAATCTTAAATTTAACTCTAGATCGGAGCCTTGCCAATGTGAATCACGGTAGATCTGAACTCAAATGTTACGAGTTTTGCTTTCCTTTTGATAGATTAGAGTTGTTCCGGAGTTTGAGCTTGCCGGATCAAGTCGCGATGGAGTGGATCACAGCTGTGTAAACCTAACGCCAATCTCTCAGAATCAATCAAGAATCTAGAATCTCTTCAAAAGCCAACCGCAATCTCTTAGATCCGGACTAAACTACTACAAATTAAGCTTCGTCATCATCAATCAGTCGGAATCAACATGACGTTGATCAAACAAGAATCAATCTTCCACGATTCCCACAGACGGCGCCAATTGAAGATGCAAGAACTTCCTTCGATTTTTCTCTCTCTAAAATTCTTACACTTCAACAGAATGAAAAAGTCCCAAAAAGCCCCCCCTCTCTCTACTCGTATGATCTATTTATAGACCATCACCAAAATTCTAACAAACTTATTGTATAGGGCTCTTATTCTAGGGCCTTCTTCCTTTTAGGCCTGACTTCATTATGTGAGCCTCAGATGTTGGGCCTAACTCTCAGTGTTGTGTTATGGGCTGAGTTCAACTGTTCGGTCCGATCCTTCTTTCGTGGGTGTTGGGCTCATTGCGGTACCCTTTTTGCTTGGGCTCGGACCTTCCATTCAATCTGATGCCTCACTCGCGGGTCAGGTCTGGTCCAATCCGTCTTTGGCATCTTCAGTAGAAAAGAATCACACCAAAATAATAACAGTAATTTGTATGGATCTTATGGTGATCCAGTTCAGTGTACTGAAAGAACACTAGCACACTAACTTAGAGTCAACTACCCCAATGGTCGAGACAAACCATCCTATCTCATAGAGGTCAAGTGTGTTGCAGTCTTATAGATGAAAGTGCCAAACTTTTGTCATTGACTGTGAACAATGCCAAGGTGCAAGAAACCAGTGAGCCCAAATCTCCTGTATGTAAATCTCATTTACATACTTAAGTCACCTATAATGCTACTTGAGGACTATAATGTTTCTCATGCAAATATATTTTTTTTTTCAAGTTGGTACTCATACACACATGTCTCTTCTAAGACTTGAACCCTGACTTCCCTTTGGGAAGTAAGAAGCCGATACCGTTAGGCCACTGGCCCGTTGGTATCTCATGCAAATATATGTAAAGCCCAATGCATGAATATCACATTTATTAATAAAATATCGAATAAATAGTAAATAATTGGTTGTAGGGCATATGATCCCAACAATACGGTGATAACAAAGCAACAATCTCAATAGCACATAATCTTGTTCTTCATGAAAGAACCAAGCATGTTGAGGTAGACAAGCACTTTATCAAGGAGAAAATAGAGAACGGGCAGATTTGTATGATCTATATACCAATTAATGAACATATTGCAGATGTTCTTACAAAGGGTCTGTCCAAGAAATAATTTGAGAAATTAACGGGCAAGTTGGTTATGGAAGATATCTTCAAACCAGCTTGAGGGGGAATGTTGGAAAGGAAAATATTCGGCTGAGATTTATTGCTGATCTCTAAGGATTGGCTAGCTGTATTTATGTTTAAATATAGGCCTAGTCAACTCTATAATTAAGAAAAATTAGTTGTATAGTTATTATGTTCCTTTTTTAACGCCTTGTATAGCCTATAAGTAGGGTACATATATATCATTCTCAGTATCAATGAAATACCATTTCACTAAAACAATTCTCTCATAATTCCTTGTTGCTTAGAATTTATTAACCAGAGAATGGTATTTGTATCTAAAACTTTCCTTGCTAAAAGAAAAATAAAAATCACTGAAAGAGACTAATCTGGTTCCTTATTGTTAGTACAGATTCTTGTACATGGAGTTCGCCTCCTTTTCTCCTCTAAACGGAATGTGGGATAATTTAGAAGCATACACCAAGGAAGCTTAATGCCCTGCAATTGACATGATCTACCAACACTTAATGCAGGTCATAACATAACCATTGTCTTGGCATGGTTTCTAAATCCTGGTTTGTTGTGCATATTTGGCTGAATTTCCAGTTTTTATTTTTATTTTTTGTTATGAAAAGAAAATTCAGAACTTGTCGAGTATCCTTAACCAGTGTCCTGAGGACTAATGCAGAGTTTTCTCGAATGTGGCTTAGTAATACCCTTCTTTTTATCTGTTTTAGCTACCAGGTTTGTCCACAGGGGTCAAATGACTGTATATGATTCTTATTGCTGAAAATTCTGCAAAATTATGCAGCTCATAAACACACTGATGTGAACTCGGCTTGTAACAAGTTAATCTGATCAGTTTTGTTTCACAAAGTAGGTGTTCTTACCCGATGTTGATTTTTGGAAGCTTAGATTGTTAGTGGAATCTTAATGACTGGTATTCTGCCTTTTTGATTTATACTTTTCTTTATCTTCTAGAAGTTGGTTAAGTGATTCTTATTTTGGTGTAAACTTTATGCAGGCACTGAGACAATGCAACAATTGCTGTCCATTTGTGAATGCAACAACTACTGTTCTTTTGCGTGAATAAGTTATGTTTTCTCTCTTGGACTCGTCACCAGTAATGATATTTTCATCTATGGATCTCAAGAGTGTAAGTTCAAATATATATTTTTCATCATTCGACTAGTGCAAAATATTGAGCATCGTAGACTTTTTGAGATTCAGTTGTCTTTTTGAGATACAGTTGTCTCTAATTTTTTGAATTCTGCAATTGCATGTTGGCATGAGTTTTATGTGGTTATGGTAATTTCAAAACTTTTCCTTAACAGGTAGATCGAGTACTTATGGTCATTTAAATTTATTTACATAGGTTCCTCCTTTATGCTTAAAGCCTTGTTTTGATTACACAGTTTCAACCTTTATGCTTGAGCTTAACATCTCAACCTTTATGTTTAAGCTTAATATCGCGAAGCTAAGATTAAGATTTGTGTGAGCAAGCAATAAATATTACTTCAATGCTCATCAAAGCCTTGTTGTTGAACACGATGTCAATTTTCAGTTCTTTTGATGTCTTGTGTGTTGAATAGTTCGATCAGAAGGTTGGCTTCTCTTGGGGTCCCACTAAAGCAGAGAAGGACGCGTCTGCAGTGGATCGAAAGGGGAGGCTTTGGTTGAGGGCTTTGCCATCGCTGGTTAAGAAGAACGACAGTCAATAACCGCAAAGGATGAGACCGAGGTTCACAATGGATCTGGATGGCGTGCACTGTTTTGAAACAATAATCATGCATTGATCAGCCAAGTTACTCCAAGCCAGGAGAGAGAAACTGAAGGTAACTTTACTATCATATATTCATTAAGAACAAGGAATTAATGAATCTAACTACTATCCATTCAATACTTACTTATGTTTGCTAATTAACAAAATCCTACTGATTTTTTTGGCATATATGTAATGGTTGCACAGTGCACCCTCTCTACTTTGATTTGTATAAATCAACAACAGAGGTGTTTTAAGGACTATATTTGTATGTATATATAAGTTAAACCCATTTGCATTTGTCTTTCCCTTTCATTTCAGCATGGGTTCTTTTATATATAAGGCTATTTTTGTCCTTTACATAAGGTTGTTTTGTAATTTGGTGACTATGTAAGGTTAACAGCATCTTTTCCTCTTAGTTAATGGGCATTTTGGTCACTGCAACCAATTTTTCTGATGTCACTGGCCAAATTTGGGATGGAAGGGGTTTATGTGTCTAACATAGGAAACCACAGGCAATATTTTTGGATGTGACATAATTTTATCCATTGTTCTTCATGCTTTCAGGTGAAAAAATTACCTTTTCTCTTGATTGGTACAATTTCATATAAGGCGTGATATATTTCTATACAAGCAAGCAATTTATAGCTATATAAGCGCACTGGTGTGAATCTATATATGAACCACAGGCAATTCCTGTTCGAATATATTCTGGTGCTTTAATTGTATATATTCGAACCGGAGGCTGTTAAGATAAGTGATTATGTCTCACGGCACAAGAGCTCTCCGTAGGGGATATCGTCTATCTTCTAACTCACCTAGATTCACTTGAGAATGACCTTTGACTCGATCAATGACATTTCTATTCGGGATTGGTAACTCATCACTCGATCTGGTTTGATAATTGGACATTGCAGGGACCTATCCATGACATTTACCTTGTTGTCACCCTAATTAAGTGGAAGATTTAATTATATGGAAATTTCAAGAGTACTAGAAAATTCAGTTTCCTAATCTGTTAGAGAAAATTCAATTTCCTAATCTGATTTGACTTCCTTACTGGAAAATTCAGTTTCCTGATTTAATTTAATTTCCTTATTGGTTTTGGATTCTATAAAAGGCAAATTCTTATAGGACAAGTTTGGGGACTCTATAAATAGGGTGGAAAAGTTAGAGAAAAATTTGTGCCAATACAAGAGAGAGCAATTGAGAGAGATTGAGAGAGAATTCTGCTTGTAATTCTTCATCTTTTTCATAGTGATTTTGTTCGGTGTGCTCCATGGACGTAACTCTAAGATTTGGATGAACCATGTATATCTTGTATTCTTGTGTGTGATTTTTTTTTTTTTTTTTCGTGATTGCTTATTTATTCCTTGAACAGTGTTGTTTATTTTGCGTTTCCGCCACAACAATTGGTATCAAATCCGGTTGATTG